CGAAGCCCGGCGCGTGATCGCAGCGCGGCGCGGGGCCGCGTGCATTCCCCGTCACTCCAGGACGGAGGTTCCTTCTACGGGGCCCTGGTTCCCCCACCCTTCTAGAGGTTGATTTCCGGCACAGGGACGAAGCCAACAAAGATTCTAGAGTTGATTCCTTTTCCATTCTTTTCAACCATCGTTCTTTTCAAAAACCGGATCTGTTTCCCTGGGTTTTTGAAGGATCCCTGGAAAGAATGGGGAAGGTACCCCTAGAACCCCCCACCCCCCAACACGGTGTTTAGCATCCACCAAATATGGTCCAAAAGAGCTGCCTGGGGGTGGTGTCTTGCACACTATTTAGCTTGTAGGGGTCCAAAGGAGCAGCCTGGGGGTTGTTAAAACAGAGCCCCCGATGCCTGATTTCAGTTCAGTGCTGCCTTCAGTGTCTGCCTTGGTATGTTTGGGTGTCCTCTAAAAGGGTCAATCCCCAAAAAGGGTGCCCTGTTTCTACAGGGGTCACTGAGCAACTGGGGACTAGGGTTTGAACTCTCGTTCTTCGGCTGGTTACAGAGATCCCGTTGTTTGCTTGTGAACCCCAGTGCATATCAAGGCTGATACGTACACAGGAATGAAACACCGAACAGAATCTGGCCATGCAGGGCCGTCGGGTATGTGTCAATCCGCTTCTGCATTACTTGTCTTTCCCATGGCGAGCTTTTTCTCTCTCACTGGAAGCCCTCGCAGGGGCAACTCACGTTAGGTCCTGCGGACGAGGTTTCTTGGTCAGTGCTCCCACAAGGTGAAACTTGCGTCAGATCCTGGCGAGTGAATATAAGTCCAACTTGAGCCCTACATTTTGGTGAATTGACTGCTTATTGGGGGGGGGTTAGGCCCCGAAAGTGGCCCAAGATGGCCATTCATGGACGTATGATATGACTGCGAGAGGTTTTTAAGTATCCCACATGGTTGTCATGGGGCCCTCCTAGTCGCTGCCAGCCCCTATTGGTATTGGGGGGCCCTTGACACGCGTAGTTGTTTGGGCTAAAGGCCTTGTCATCCTCCAGCCTTTTTGTCTCGTGCAGGAGCGAACCTCGACAGCGATGCAGGCGCTGGAGCACGGCATGGAGCCTCCGGGCGCCTCCGACAAGTGGCGGGTGGCACAGCTCTTCTACGCAGCTCGCTGAGAGAAAGCTCTCGGGCTGGGAAATTCCTCCGTGGGTTGAGTTGACCCCTATGGTTTGAACATTTGAGTTGCTCACCTCTTTGATTTGTGGTGTTAAGTTCTCTTTAGCTTTTTCTTTGAGCTGGTTCTCCTCTGATTTGGGGGATTGAGTTGGGTAGCTTTTTCTTTTGAGTTCGTAACTTGATTTTGGGGGTTATGTTTCTCTGAGTTCGAACCTTTTTTTGAGCTGGTACCTTGGAATTATGTTGAAGGCTACGGAAGCTAGGTCCCCCAGTAGTGCCCTTTTCAACCCCGTTTTTGGTTGGGAGGGTTCCCCTACTATAGACGAAACAGAAAAAATATCGTTGGTACCAACTTATTCGAACCCCTCTACTGGTGGACCTAGACGTATCTCAAAGTTGAACAAACAAAACCCCCATCCACAAGTTGGTTTGCGTGTCACCTGTTTGTTTTTTCCCCGGGATCCTCCAAAAAGGTCGTCCTTCGTTCAAAGGCTCAGTTGTTCAGTGGCACCAAATATGTTTCCCTTTTTGTTTGCTGGCTGGTCCAAAAATGGTCTTCCCCAAAAAGGGTTCCCATGGTTCCCTTTTTTTCCCAGGGTCACTGAACAACTGAGAAGGTTGTTCAGGGCTCCTTAAAAGATACATGTTGCCCAATTGAAACACGTCTTTTTCCACCAAAATAAAGAGAACACCACCATTGACAAGGCAATGTTCAGGTGTATAATGTAAGGATCCCTGTTGTTCTACCGGAGTACCCACCGGACGCCTCTCAATCCCGTCTCAGGAGGCGCTGCCGCGGAGCTTCGTGAAGCTGCAGCGCATCGAGCGGATCTTGAGCCCCAGCAAGTTCGTGGCTGGGCGCCAGTGATCGCAACGCGTGTTTTGATGGCCCCCAAAAGGGCCTCAAAAGGAACAGGTTATTCTAGGGCTTGATTCCTTTTCCATTCTTTTCAACCATCCTTCTTTCCAAAAACCGTGCTACATGGCTGTGGTGGTCAAAGCCGTTTTGGGATCCCATTTTGGTTGGTAGGTGACTTCACCACCCACTTTAGGACCGATTTTAGTGGCCTTTGGGATGTTCACTGGGGGGTACGATTTCCATTTTGGCCCATGACCACATAGCAATCAAAAGCGTGGTTTGATTCCCCCCAAAAGGGGCACAAAAATAAAATGGTTGTTGTTGAAAGACTAGGTCCCCCAACTAGGTGCCCTTTCTTGCCCTTTTTTGGGGGAGGGTTCCCCTGCTAAAATAGACTACAGAACAAAGGGTACCCTTGTTCTAACCTCTCTACTGGAGGACCTAGAAGAAACCAAAGGAGCCAAAAGGGAGTGGATACGCTGCAAAATGTGTTTGGCATCCAGGTGGCTTTTCTACAAAACGTGGGCGTGAAGGATGCGTCGGGCTGCGGCGTGGCCTATTTCGCCCCAGCGGACACAGATCAACTGCAGCTTCACCCAAGCGGATCAAGCTTTTGAGCTGCTTTTGGTCCTGGAAAGCTTGGATCCTGCTCGCGTTTGAGCTGGTTGGTTCGGTTCTTGCAAACTGGCAGTTTTGGTTCCCCTGTTCTTTTTTGCGGGGGAACCAGCGTTTGTCAGAAGCAAAAAAAGTGGTCACGGACGTCCGTGTTCACTACTCCTCAGGAACCGCATTTGCGGCCAGGGCCCTTGCTACGCGCTGGATGCTGAGCACGAGGCTGGCTGGTAGTCTGATAGACATGGAATTGAGGGGGGTTATTACCTGGGAATTTTAGTATTTATGGGCCAGATCAACCATATGTTATGGTATGTTGGGGTCATTTTGTGTTTTCGCTGAAGGGGCTAAACATGGCACACCCCAATATGTCATTTTCGGTTTCTCCATAACGCCAATGGGGATCCCCAGAGTTGTACTGCCGCTGTCGAAGGTTGGGGGAGTGGCTGGTAGGGTCTGTCAGGACACGTGCTGCGTTTTGTTGGGGAAGGAACGATCTTTCGGGACAGCGCTGCCTTTTTTTTGGTCTTGCTTTCAGTCTTGTACAGCCCAAAGGTTGAGACTTTGCGCGCTTGCGCGCACGCAAGCGCGGCACGGAATGCAAGGGCTTCGGTCAGGATGGCTCCGCAAGTCCACCATTTGCACAAGTTGCGTGGAACCATGGCAGATGCAAGCTTCTGAAACACAGCCTTCCCAGCATCGTGTCCTTTGAACCTGAGCCGTTCAACCCATTCCTGCGCACATGTTTTTTTGCCTTGAAGATGTAAACAGGTTCTCGTTGTGTTTTTCCGTTGCTTTCGTCTTGCTCACTTGGAGTACAGTGAAAGCTTGTGATTGCAAGATAGACTCGTTCCCGCTTTCAGGAGCCACGGCACATAGCGAAGCAAATCGCCCGAAAGCCACCCTGCATGCACTGATCTCAACTCACAATGGCGTCCCACAACAGCACTGGACGACACCCACATGTGCTACATTTATGGCGGGAGGGTTAGAACATTAAAACATGAAGCAGCCAAATGAACGCGAAGCTGAATGTGTTGCTTGTGTGTTTTGTGCAGGAAGCTCAGCACTTCAAGAATCATTCAAGGTCAGAACATGAGTCTGTTCATACAAGCGAAGAAGATGTATCAGGTTCCTTTCTGAGTGTTTCCCTCATGTATGAATCTGCATAGCTCCGGGTTCCCAGTCCCCCCCCCCCCCTCCCAGAACCCGAGCCCTAGGAGAAGCCCTGCTTCTCAGTCCCCAGACCCCCCTTCACCCCCTGAACCCACACCTCGGCACACACGCCCTGCGCCCAAACCCTAAGCTAACCCTAAACCAACCCTAAACTAGCTCGAAACACACATCTTAAACCAACACTTGACACGTTCTGAACCAAGCCTGACCCAACTTGATCAACCCCAAACAAGCCGTAAACCAACCTCAGATTAAACCAACCTCTAAGCAAATATCTTAAACCAACACTAAACACACTCGAAACCACCCCGGAACTAACCTAAACCACCCCTGCACCAAGGGGGAGAAAAAAAAACTCCTAAACCAAGACTAAATACACTCTAAACCAACCAAAAACCAACCTTAAACCAACCCTAAACAAATATTTTAAACCAACACTAAACACACTCCAAACCAAGCCTAAACCACCCTAAACCACTACAACTAGATCAACCCTAAACCAAGTCTAAACCACTGCAACCCCACCACGGGGGGGGGGGGGTAAGGGCATACACCCTTTCCAGAGCAGGGCTTCCGGCTGGCCTCGGACGCCGGCACCTGCGTGAAGCATCTGCTCTCGGAGTCGCCGAGCCCCCAGACCACGCGGTTCCTCTGCGTCTTCTTCTGCGGCCCGGAGGCGCGGGTGATTTGTTTGGCGGAGAGGCGGATGTTGTTTTTCTTTTTTTCTCGCCCTCCCGCTGAACTGTTTTTTTTTTTCCCTCCTTCGGGGGAGGGGGTGTTTTTTTGTGTTGCTCGGGCAGCCGGAGGCTTGAAGATCGTAGAGCCACAGTTGGCATGGATCCCGATGGGCGGTTTGCATTGGACCTGAGGTCTGTTCAACCTCTCAGCGGAAAGTCATTCACTGTGGCACCAAAAGAAGCAGCCAGGCAGAACGTCCACTTCCATCATCGCTTGCATTGTTGGGGGGGCCAACTGCTTTTGATTCCTTGAGGAAACCACAAGGGGGATGTATAGCTTGTTGATTTTCCAGCCCGATATTTACCTCCCAATATGTGTGCCCTGTGTTCGGTCCAGCCCGATATTTACCTCCCAATGTGTGTGCTGTGTTCGGCGGTCAGAACTATGAACAGCAGAGACCCTTTAATCGGCAACGGTTCCATGCCGGCTTGTTTGTGATAGGAGGGGATTGGCCGGTTTTGTGATTCACAGTCCTACATGTTTCGATATTGAGAACTCCTTAGCTATGCCTTAAGTGGAAGTCCAAAATACTTGGTACTAGTACATGTCGGTGCGTCTGCACGGGTACGTGTTTGTGAGTACGTGTTTGTCTGTACAAATGCGTGTGTATATATATATATATGTGTGTGGCATACATACACATGCTTATTTGAGCACACGCAATCAGAGTGTTCGACAGGGACGATGGTTGCAACCTCATTGAATTTCAGGCATGGGTGGCTGCTTTTTGCGAAGGTACCCTTCTTGGGGTGGCAATCAAACAGCAACCAATTGCAAGATCAAAATCCAATTTGGGAGTCCCCTGTTTGAACACAAAGCTGTGCGTGTCTGTGCGTTCCCCTTGACATTTTCACGGCTCAAAAACGCTCGCCAGGTGGCACTTCCACTGGAAAGCGGCACGGATCGCCCGACGGAGAGCCGCGAATTCCACGTGAGCTCCACAGATCAGCTGCTGCCGGCCTTCATTATTCATTATCAATTCACCGGCATCCCTGTGGACAAGGCCAGCTGTTCAGCTCAGCTTTTTTTTGTATTCTATTGTATTCCGGGGTCATAGCATCAACGGAAAAACGACGGAATGGCCGGAGTGTTGTGGGCTTAGCAAGCTACACCAGTACAAAAAAAAAAGGACAACTGGTCGGGGCTGTGTTTCAAGAAGGATTATTATACCAAGCTGCCGCACTGGCTGCTTTTTCTTTTCGTGAGGCGTTTTTGTTGCCTGGGTTGAGTTGAGTGAAATGATGGATGCAAACCTCCGCAACCATCTTGGTGAAACCGAGAGTTGGTGGGCATCACGGCTGCAAACGGCACACTTTTGGGGGTGAAACGGTCAAGTCAAAGGTGAACCCAAGGCTTTTGGAGGTTCCAAAGCTGGCTCGGTTCCAAGGTGCAAACAGACCTTATCCGACCTTCATGAAAAGGCAGGCCTCATGTTTGAGGAGTTCGCAGTCTACGAAAAACCAAACGCTATGGTCAAAACATATATAATCATATATATATATACATGCAACATTTAGTTGCCTAGGGACTGGCAGAGATCTTCTCTGACACATTTGCGTGCCATCCAATTTACTCAAAAGCTAGGGGGAACTCAGAAAGGGTGTTTTTTTTTTGGCCTAGCCCTGGCACAGGGCTAACCCTGGCAGGTGGTTGGTTGGTTGGTTGGTTGGTTGGTTGGTTGGTTGGTTGGTTGGTTGGTTGGTTGGTTGGTTGGTTGGTTGGTTGGTTGGTTGGTTGGTTGGTTGGTTGGTTGGTTGGTTGGTTGGTTGGTTGGTTGGTTGGTTGGTTGGTTGGTTGGTTGGTTGGTTGGTTGGTTGGTTGGTTGGTTGGTTGGTTGGTTGGTTGGTTGGTTGCTGGCTGGCTGGCTGGCTGGCTGGCTGGCTGGCTGGCTGGCTGGCTGGCTGGCTGGCTGGCTGGCTGGCTGGCTGTCTGGCTGGCTGGCTGGCTGGCTGGTTGGTTGGTTGGTTGGTTGGTTGGTTGGCGGCTCGGTGGGACAAAGGTTTGGGATGGGTTCAGGGTGGGCTTAGGGTAAGCTTGGGGTAGTCCGTTTAGGGTAGGTTCAGGTCCGGCATCGTTTTGACATCCTCAGCATCGTTTTCAACATCCTCAGCATCACCAGGTTTTGGTTTAGGCTGGGTTTAGGGTGGGTTCCAGGTTGGCTCAGGGTTGGCTATTGAGAACAATTTTGGGGGTGGCTGTGTTTGCGGCAGATGGTTCAGTGCTGGTTTCTGGTGGGGCTTGGTGGGGCCACTCATGGCTAAAACACAACCGTGGCCGAAGCCAATTTTAAACCCACGCGAAACCGGCCCTAAACCCACCCGAGACCAGCCCCACGAAGCCCCACCAGAAACCAGCACTGAACCATCATGAACCATCTGCCGCAAACACAGCCACCACCAAAAATTGTTCTCAATAGGTTTGGAACCCACCCGGAGCCAACCCTGAGCCAACCTGGAACCCACCCTAAACCCAGCCTAAACCAAAACCTGGTGATGCTGAGGATGTTGAAAACGATGCTGAGGATGTCAAAACGATGCCGGGCCTGAACCAGCTTTGAACGGACTACCCCAAGCCTACCCTAAACCTACCCCAAACCTTTGTCCGTTAGTGTCTCCAGGCTGTGCCAGGGTTAGGCTACTGCCAGGGCTATGCAAAAAACAACACCTCAGCCGAAGCAACTCATGGTCATGCCGGACTGCCCCTCTTTTTGGATAAGTTTGAAAAGACGAGAGGATTCGGAAGCGGACCATATTTCACCTCTCAAAAGTGAAGGAAGGTCGGGTGATCATTTGGATAGAGACTTCCATGACTTTTGAATGGGGATCCTCAGAAATTGGGTGGTGGACCCAAATCTGGATGTAGATCATGCCCACTTAGGTCCCAAGCTAAATTATCATTCACACTAAACTAAGTCCCCCAGTAGTGCCCTTCTCTCCCCTTTTTTGGGGGAGGGTTCCCCTACTAAAATAGACTGCAGAAGAATAAAAGTCGGGTACCCTTATTCGAACCTCTCAAATCTGAAGGACCTAGTAAAATTCCCCCAAGTTGGATGCCCACTGGGGCGACCTTTTTTTCCCACGACTTGTCCATCTTTTTGTTTTTCCCATCGCTGAGAGGCCTGGCAGGAGGCCGGCTTCGAGCGCCGCGGCAGCCCCTCCCCAGAGCCCCGGTCCCCGAGCCGGCGCAAGGCGTCCGTGCGGGATCCGCTGATTCAGGGCATGCTTCAGCGCCTGCCGGTGATGTGCCTTGGACCTACCCGTTTTTGCGAGTCGCCAGGTTGTTTTTTTTACTTTGGGCCTTTTGAGCTTTCTGACACTTTGGAGCTTTGCAGTTCTTTGCACTTTACCCTCTTGGAGCAAGCTCTCCAAGCAACTGGTGTTTGTGTGTCAGTCCGCCAAAGCCAGGGGGTGTTTCCTTTAAAAAACGAAGGACTTTTTGAGGGCAGGGGCCGCTTGGTGCGATCCGAGGAGCGAGGGTACGGCAGGCACGGTGCTGCTGCCGAGCAATTCCGCAGAGGCTGAGGCGGTGGTGAGTCTCTACCTACAGTGCGGAGGCTCGCGTGAGGGGAACTCCGTGTTTGTCCTCCATGTGGGTCTGACTTTTCTGAGGCTACCCTGCGTTTTGTGTTGCAACTTGGAAAACCGCCATGTTTGGTTTAAAGTGGACCCATTGCACCACGTGCACACCCGAATGGTGCTGGAGGTCTGGTGAAAGTGGCAGTTTCTTCCTGGAAACCACCAGGCCATTGCAGCTGCTGAGGGGGAAATCCAGTGACCCCTGTCAAAATTGGTGATCATGTCTTCCTGTTGAAACTGTTCCCGAAACGAAGTCCTACTTTCGGCAAACCCTCATTTTGAAAGGAGCCGACCGGAGCCGCCAGCCATAAATCCCCGCTTGCGGCAGTCCCCTTTGCAGGCGAGCGGTTTTCCGCCAGTGGAGTCGGGCTCTTGGATTCGGCCCAAAGAAAATTTGACACGTTCATTCATTTTGGAAGACTCCACCAGAAAAACCTCTTGGACTTGTTCAGAAAATAAAAGCCGCAAAACACACCTCTGTCCGGGGCGGCGTGAGGCACACATTGGTTGCACATGCCTCAAGCCAGGCCTAAACGGGCTCGGGAATTGTGCGGGTGAGTTGCTCCATTTGGTGAGTATGTTCTTTGGTGGTTGTGTTTGGTCCTTCTCCCTTGTCCCAGTTTCCTCCTTGCATCCTCCCTGTTTCAAACTCCAATGCCCATGTCGAAGCATACCTGAACAAACATAAAAAGGTTTCCCCCTTTCCGCCCTTTGCGGTATCCCCTTGCAACCGACGACCAAAAAATCACCGGAAACCTCTGGTTGCCCCTTGCCAGGCGCGGCGCGCTTGAAGCGGCCCCCAGGCGTGGACCTCCGGGAGGCCCTGGGAGGCGTGGTGGTGCAGCGCTTCGAGAACAAGAGCCTTGGGGAGGACCCAGAACCGATCCCAACCGTAGCCCAGATCAGTCCATCCAAATAAGGTTGTGTGTTGGTCTATCGGAGTGTTTGTGTGTTTGTGTGTTTGTTTGTTTGGTTGGTTGGTTGGTTTTGTTTGTTTGTTTGTTTGTTTGTTTGGTTGTTTGTTTGTTTGTTGGTTTGTTTGTTTGTTTGTTTGTTTGTTTGTTTTGTTTGTCTGTTTGTTTTGTTTGTCTGTTTGTTTTCTTTGTGTCTTTGTGTCTTTGTGTGTTTCTTTGTTTGTTGCTTTGTTTGTGTATTTTAGTCCAAGCAAGTCTTGGTGGCTCCCAGCCATCCGGTTCCTTGGCCTTTTAGATCCGTTTAATGTTTAGTGGTAGTTTCTGAAATTAACCCACTAAAAGTGAAACTTTTAGCGGGTGATCTGAGGGCAGCCCAGAAATGGGGTTGTGTGTGTGTGTGTTGCTATGTTTCAATTGTTCAATGTGGTTGTGCGTTTGTGCGCTGGTCGGTTGGTGTGTTTGTTTGTTGGTGTGTGTGTGTGTTGGTGTGTTCGGGTGTATGTGTTTGGTGTGGTTGTTGCTTGCTCGCTTGTTTGGTTGTTTGTTGGTTTGTGTTTGTTCGTGTGTGGTGCTTGTGTGTGTGTGTAGGTCTGGTGGTGCGTTTGTTTGTGGATTTGTCGGTTTTCTTGATTGGTTGTTTGTTTGTGCGCATATTTGTTTGATTGTTTGGTGTTTTTTTTGTTTGTTTCTTTGTTTGTTTGTTTGTTTGCGTTGGTGTGTTCGTGTGTATGTGTTTGGCGTGGTTGTGTGTTTGTTTGTTGCTTGCTTGTTGGTTTGTTTGCTTGCGTGCTTGCTTGCGTGCTTGCGTATTGGTTTGTTTTTTGTGTTTGTGTGTGTGCAGCGCTTGTCTATGTGTTGGTTTGTTGGTGGGTTTGTTGGTGGGTTTGTTGTGTGTGTTTGTGTGCGTGTGTTTGTGTTTTTTTTTTTTTTTTTTTATGTTCGTGTGTGTGTGTGTGTGTTCTTACGTTTGTGTGTGTTGGTGTGGTGTGTATGTGTGTTGGTGTGTGTTGGTGTGTGTTGGTGTGTGTGTGTGTGTGTTGGTGTGTGTGTGTGTTGGTGTGTGTTGGTGTGTGTTGGTGTGTGTTGGTGTGTGTTGGTGTGTGTTGGTGTGTGTTGGTGTGTGTGTGTGTTGGTGTGTGTTGGTGTGTGTTGGTGTGTGTTGGTGCGTGTTGGTGTGTGTGTGTTGGTGTTGTTGTGTGTTCGTGTGGGTGTGTGTGGGTGTGTTTGTTTGTTTGTTTGTTTGTTTGTTTGCTTGCTTGTTGGTTTGTTTGCTTGCTTGCTTGCTTCCGTGCTTGCGTATTGGTTTGTTTGTTTGTGGTTGTGTGTTTTTGTGTGTGTTGAGGTCACCTTCTTAGGGCCGGGCTAAAGTGAAGCCAAAAGGACGACCACCATTTTGGAGGTCCCTCTATCTTGCTGCATACCCAAGTCCTTTATGAGGATGGAATTGCGGGGTGGGTTGAAAAACACCCACGTTGAGTGAATGGTCTGCAGGTTCTTTTAAGGCAGGCCTATTTGGATGGGTGTTGTGAAAGGTGTGTCTTTGTTTTGAGGTGGTTAAAAAGCAAAACCACCCATTTCATGGTTCCCCATTTGGCTTTTCTGCATGTTGGGATCAAGGCAAAGATGACCCACGTGGGTCTCTAACCATACAGGGGAAACAACTGTGTGACTCTTTTCCTGTCCGGGCGCTTGAGCAAAGTAGCTCTTTTCTAGCGTTGTTTTTCAAAGGTGACCTACTTGAAGGTTGTTGCTTAAAGGTGTGCCTTATCTTGGGGTACCTCTTTCTCGTTGGGTTGCTTTCAAAAGAGCCTAACGCAAAAGAACCAACTTGGGTTGGAGGCAAGCCCGAATCGTTCCTCTTCGGCTCCCGTTTTCTAAGGTTCTTGCATACTCCAATCCCACGAATCAATGAGCGGGCGTTGTGATAGTTGTGCAAAAGATGAGTGGTTCTGTCTGAAACACCTGGCGACATTCTAATGTATTGTTGTGAAACATCTAGAGAAAGCAAACTGCCAAGTTGTCAGTGGCGTTGGTTTGGAGCAGCAAATCAGACTGTGCGTTGTCTTGTCGGCTTCTTCGGGACATGTGTCAAAGCTACAGCCCAAAAGCCACCAATTCGCAGGATTTCAAATATGTCTCCATTGTCAACCCATCCCAAAGGGGGTCCGATTTCCGACTTTGCGGATGCCATGTTCTCAAGTTCCAGCTGCCTTGGCCCTGGCAATGAGAACTCGCCCCTTGGAAGGACTTCCGCCCCCCAGCTTTCTTCTGCCGCCAATGACGGAGTTGTCCAAAACATGTGCCCTTTGTGGCACTCCTAAACGGCGGGATGTTGGGTCTCGGGGTTCAAAAAGGAACCATATGTTAGACAACCCCCCAGATAAGGGGTCGGTTTCTCCCCTTTGCGGGCACGACGTGTTTTACTCGCAGATGTGTCAGAACAGGGTGAGCCTATAGATTTGTGTTTTTTTGTTTCCCTTACCCACCAAAAACAAGGGTCTCTGTATTTCCCGTTTGGGTGGTTGAAACATCACCTTTTTTGGCAACAAGGAAATGTGAGTGTCTCTTGGTGATGTTTTCAGGTTGGAAAGGGTCCCCATCTTTCCCCTTTTGGTTGGAAGCATCACCTTGTTGGCAACCATGAAAAGTTGGTGATGTTTTCAGGTTGGAAATATAGGGAGCCCACTTGGTGACGGACATATAGGGAGCCACCAGCCAGAACAGGACTACCTCGCCGTGGAGCTGGAATCCAACTTCGGGCCCCGATTCAAGGAGGACGTGGTCTGGCACGGCACAAGGCTCAAGAAGAGCGATGGAGACCCGGCCGCAGGGAGTCCCCATGTTGGGCATGTTTTTTTGGTTGTTGTTTTGTTGTTTTTGTTTTAAGGGGTGGATATCGGAAAAAAACTCCGGCAGGCGAGGGGATGAATGCCTCGACAAGGGAAGCACGATGAAGAACACCTTGCGGTGTTTGGTGCGCTTTGAAGTAGAAACAGCTCGTGTGTCTGTTTCGTGTTAAACTGCCAGACTTTTTCTTGCCTAATGAACTTTGTGCCTGTTTGGTTTAACTTCATTGTCCAACAGACTGTGCCCTGGACAGGGCCCTTGGGTGGCCCAACTTCGGGGACATCCTCGTTTTTATGTCGGTGTGATGGTGGGGCCGCTGCATGGACGGCTCTTGCCCAGTGCCCTCCCTTGCGTCGTCCACGTCCGGGTCCCTTTGACAAATGACACTTGTTCCATTCACCTGAGTACTCCCCTCGTGCTCCCATGCACCTTGCTTACATTCTCACGCGTGGATGTCACATTTCCAGGCAAGTTCCACAGCTGTTGCGGCTTCAACTGCATGGCGCTTTCCGATCCCTGTCCGCCGTTTTGTGGATCCCTGGACTGGCCTCGATGAGCTCCCGCGCAGGCCTGGAATTGTACTTGCATATGGCTGGAGAAGCCTTGAGGAGT